AGTACAAGGAATTCAGATCGCCAACCAGCTTGGGGCGGAGCATCTCCTAGTTGAAGGGGACTCTCAGGTGGTAACAAGGTGGCTCCTAAACTTGGATACCACCATTTGGGGCTACAAAGATCTCATAAAAAAAGTAAAGTGGTTAACCAGCAATATGAGAGTTGAGGTAAAATGGGTTAGTAGGTCTGCTAATTCTTTGGCCGATGCTTTAGCCAAACATGGGGTTTCTAGGGAAGATCTTTTTTGTGCTTCTATGTAAGCTGTTATTAATTTGGAAATCTGTACTTAACTAGCCCGGTGAGGTTGCAGCTCGTGCCTTTCCTTGGGGAATTTGTACTATTGTCTATTGCTGATTAATAAAATTATTTCAATTATAAAAAAAAAAATTAATAAAAAAATCTGAACTTAAATTTTAAATTAAATGTTTAAAAAACCTATTATCTAAAATTAAAATACATAAACATAACTTGCAAAGCGTATACAGATGATAATTTAAAAATAAAATCAAATATATAAAACATTTTCAAGCATGTAAAACCCACAATCTCTTTTTTTCCTCAACTGCATTACTTCAAGTAGCTAATGTGATGTAAAACATATTACATTCCTAATTCTACGAGCCACCTTTGTGCCACGCCCCTCGAGGCAAGCCCAAAAAGTCCATGTTAAGGTCTTAACTTCTTAGTTCTAACACAAAAAAATAATGATTTTATAATTTTAATTGCTTTTTAAGAAGATATTTTAGTAGGATGAATGAATGAACAACATTAGCAAATAGGGGGGGGTCTCTCTCACATGTGGACCCTGAAAAGAAGGGCAGGAACCCAAATCCTAGGATCATCACAGTGACACTTGGTGAAACCCTGTTTGCAGCCAGCAACAAACAGGGATCCTCATAGTGATTTTCCCACTTTGGGAAAAGTCTCCTTTCTAATTACGTGACTTCCTATTCTATTAGAGAATTTCCTCTATAAATAGAGGAGGCTTGAGGCTCTCCTTACACAATCAGATCACCCCCATAATATTACCCTCAGCCTCCATTACAGTCCTTTGCAGCCATTTTCCCTATTTTTTTTTTCTTCTCCCTCTCAGGCCATCTACCATCTTTCAGGTAGACCCTTACTGTTGCCTTACCTCCCCACTCACAACTGGGATTGATAATGAAGAAAAAAATTCACCATTATGTCCGTAGCCAGCAATGCCACTGGGTTACTCGTTGATCACTTCGTCCAACTTTCTTCAAGTTGCTTAGCAATTTTTAAGTTTTCTCAGCAGTAGATGTTGCTTTCTTTGGTTATATCTTTATTCTGCATGGAGGCGGCTATTATTCTTTGCTTAGTTGATCTATTCTTGATAGTGTCAAAATGGCTCTAACTCTGATTCTTTATATTGGTTCTGTTGGTTTTATTCCTTATTATAGGATACATTACTTATTTTTTTCTATTTTTAATGTGAGATAAAACATTTATTTGATTGCCTCGTTGTAAGAGCTTGGAATAATTGACTTGTGTTTATTTGAAAAGTGGACAAGAGAGACAAAGTTCCCACATGCTGTATGGGCTGCTGGTCGAGGTCTCATTGCTCTTATTCTACCAAATTTTGATGTTGTTGATAATATATGGCTTGAGCCATTTTCTTGGGAGGTATGCCATCTTCATATCCTATTCTTTATATCATTATTTTATCTTTGGAAATTTTATGTACTTGTGTAGATGCTTTTTTATATATGTAGCTATGTACGTGTTCTTGTTTGTGTGTGTGTTTATTGACATATCATGTTATCTTGTACCATTAGCTATTAATTCTTGTACCAACTGAGTTATGTTTTATATGCAAAAGGGACTACTACTGCTCATCAAATACATATTCCATTTTTCGTAGTGACTGATAAGCAGTTAGACCTACTGAAGGAGAAGATCGATTTTCAAAGCAAGGAAAACCTACCAGACATAGATGCACAGAATTGTTGGTGATTGAGACCATTGTTATGCCATTCGTTTGGTTGAGCTTTAGTGTTGCCTAAGGCTCTATTTGCTTGCAATGCAATTTCATTCACAATAGTACAAATGCATGGATACATCAGCCCATGTATAAAGAGAGCCTGTACATTGGAAGTATACAAAAAACCTGAGTAATCACTCAAAACAGGTCCAACTTGCAAAAAAGAGAAGCTGGACATCTTGAAAAGCCCTTTATACACTCAACCAGGAACACAGTAAACCTATAAGGTTGTTCTTAACTGAGTCTAATCAGAACATTTGTTGTCAAGAATGCAAAGATTTCTTTCCTTCCACAAATGCATGGAATTGCAATGACAAAATTCCAATTTTGGTTCATTTTTATTTTGGGTTTTATTTTATTTTGCCTCGGCTCTATGTTACATTGTTTACACAGCAAACAAACAAAATAAAGTAAGACATATAACAAATGAAACCAAAATTTGGACTTAACTTATTTGCAATGCACTCCCATCTTTTTGCACAAATGCAAATTATATTGCACTGCTAACTCTCTTATGATATAACAAAATGTAATTATTTATGTAAATCCCCACCATGGTCTTACATTAGAAATATGTGGGAATTGAATTTTTCCACATAAATGGGTGATGATGGGTTCCAACACCCTTTTTTTTTTGCAGGGAATAGGGTGCACAAAGATTACTAAGGCCAAGGATGAAGAATCTATGAATGGAAATGTAGAAACAAGATCATACCTTGAAAAAAAGCTTGTATTCTGCTTTGGTTCATATGTTGCAGCCCAAATGCTACTTCCTTTTGGTGAAGAAAATTTTCTTTCTTCATCAGAACTCAAGCAGGCACAGGAGGTAGATGTTATATTCTGCATTTTCTACTTTTTATGAAGGTTCAATACCTTAATAATTCATTTAAAATAAGGACAAACCAAAAAGTTACATTCTTTAGTATCACAAAATATGATCTTCATTATTTGCAACAGATAGCCACACGGATGGTGATTCAATATGGATGGGGTCCTGATGAAAGTCCTACAATTTACTTCTGTAGTAACGCGGTATTTACCTTTCTTCATGTCTCACATTTCTATCCAATGTTGAATAAAGGGGTGTTTATTTTTTTAGTATTTGTAGGCCAATTTTTACTCGATACTCATCTTGTGCATTGTTCTCAAGTTCATCTTCTTCATTTATACAATCTTTTGGAGTTACCTTTCTCAGAAGAAGGAAAAATTATAATCATATTTCATTTTGTTTCTAATGATTAGTGTGTGTAAACCCATTTTCAATATATACACGAAGTTTTCTTTGCCTAATTTGACAGCTTTATCCTAGTTTTTTTTTTTAACACAGACGCAAGAAATAGCAAGAATACCTAAGAAATGAAGGGAGTATACAAATAACATACAAAGAAATGGAATCAAGAATTTCAACAGCACCAATCCTCCCCCCAGTTCTAATTTTTTTTCTGGTTTGGAAGTTATTAAGGATTTCTTTATCATCTTTCTTCTATCATCCTGGCTAAGTGTCTTTTTTCTCTCTCTTTGGCCATTGCAAATGAGAAACTGCTTAGTTCAGTCAGACATACTTGTTGAACGCAGTGATTAGCATTCTTCTACAAGCATCATGGTATTAATTTGATGTTTGCTTTTATCAACTTTGCCTCTCAAACCTTTCAACTCCATCCGATTGTTCAACTTAAGTCACTTGGGAGTTGGGAAGTGATGAAATCAACAACTTTTTACCCAGGAATGGTCATTGGTAAATGTTATAGAAAAGTTCAAATGGTGTAGCTTTAGATGCTAAAGCTCTGGTGTTATCGACTTAGACAGTAGGAGAGTTGCTATCGGTTTTGAACTCAATCCAACTTAGCCTTAATCACAACTATTTGGGTGATACATGAATCTTGTCCTGACATTATGCTCTATCTTTTTTTTTCTTTTTGATAAGTAAAGAAATGATTTATTGACACAGAATATTTTATATCATATAAATTATAACATATATTATATGTCATATAATATAAAGTATTATATTAAAATAATGTATTTAATGACAAAGGCCCAAAGCCTGGCCTGTTCCATGATTTTATACATATAATCTTGTCCTGACATTCTACTCTATTCATAATATGGCTAATGAGGTTAATCCCACAATACTTATGGCAATTTGGTATATCAGCTCTGTTCTTAAGAGACCATTATACTTTTTCTCACTCATCAGGTTTTTTCTTTCTTTTAATAATTATATTGAACAAATTAATCAACCATAATAAACCCATCTCACCATGCATTTCTAAGATCTATTAGGAATCTGGGAGGCTGGGATACAATCAAGTCCTAAAGCCTCTCCTACATTCATCTTCATTATGGTTTCTTTTAATCTCTGAAGCCTATTTTATAAATATATCTATGTTCTCCCCTCTCAAGTGCTTTTAACATGTTCTTCAATCTTCATTTAGCAATCTCTTAAAAATAACTTCTGTACCTCTCCTTAATTTCCTCATTCTTAACCAGAACTCTTTGGTCTCAAATTTTGATGCATTCAACAATATCTAGATCTTTACTTTTCATAGCTTGAATAATTCATCGTATGTCTTTCAGTTTAGCTTGATTTCTTAGGTTCTTTTTGAGCATTTCTATATCCCTCTAAATTCCTTATTTCTATTTGTTTGCTTGGCTTTGACGGTAGAAACTAAATTTAATTTTCTTTGCTACACTATTTTAGTTGACACTTTGTGCTAGATTGCATTGTAGAAAGTCATAAATTTATCCTAGTTTTCTTTCAGTTGTTTGCTGTTTCTTCACAGGATATTTGTTCCATGTTTCAAGAGCATCTTTCATTTTTTTTTTTTCTTATAACTTCTCATTAGGGCATCTTTTATTTGTTCATCTTAGTCATTATTTTCTTTGATTGGCAGACAACAGCATTGAGTATGGGTAACAATCATGAGTTTGAGATGGCAGCCAAAGTTGAGAAGGTATGCATTCGGTTCCTTGTTATTGGCTATTGTATCTTGAATGGCTCTTCAGTTTTGATATGATCTATGAATTTGTTATAGCATATGATGGCAAGACCATCTAAGGAATATGCTTTCTTTTATGCAGATTTATGATTCAGCATATGACAAAGCAAAGAATATGCTTCAAAAGAACCGCAAAGTTCTTGAAAAGATTGTAGAAGAGTTGCTTGAGTTTGAAATATTGACAGGAAAGGTAAGAACTGCTCTTGGAAGCTGTCTGCATAAACATAGCTACCTTTCTCAAACCTCTGGGAAATCTGGCACTTGCACCCATTCAGTCTACAGTTTAAGAATGTTATTTTAGTTGATGTGGAAATTTCAAAAAACAAATGAAAAAAAAACATTCATATTGTAGAAATTGTAGAATACCCCCTAAAGTAGTAGGACTTTAGGAAAGCCTTGTATTTTGTTTTTCTAAACCTGTATTTGCACTGTACATATTTGTATCTGTACTCTCCAAACTGAGCCTTGTGAGGAGAAAATTTTCATTTACTAAACTGAAGCAGCAGCCATTGAATGCTAGGTCCTGGATCCTCAGTACTTGTTACATATCCTCTATACAGGATTTACTATTTTAGATCAGTAACAAATGTTATTGATTTAGAAAAAGAATGACTTGTGTAAAAATGTCAAGCATCCTTTAGGTAGAACAATTCCTTTTCACATCATATATTCCCCCTCACTTCCCTAAACAATGTACCCCTTGTTTGGCCAATGCAAAATCCAATTGATTAGCCGATCTATGAACCTAGTTTGCATTAATAACCCCATCTCTTTTCAACTCCTTGATTTCCCTTATGACGTTTCTTTACTACCATGGGATCGTTGTTCTAATCCATACCACCACCACTTTTGAGTATCCCTTAATTACTAGACTTGTATAGTTTAAAGATTTTGCAATCCTTGTAGCACTGCTAATAGCTCTGCTCTTGTGGAATTTCCATAACTGTTGCTTTGGAAAATAATGTAATGAGATCTCCATAGCAATTCCTATAAATCCTTCCTATCCCCAATAGGCCCGCATTTATCCTTCTACAGGCATCAAAGTTTAGTTTGAATTTATTCAGTGCCGGTGGTCTCTACAGGCATCAAAGTCTATATGTGAGCACAAAGGTTAGCTACTTAGCTGTCTATCCAATCTACCCCTCTCAAGACCCCTGATGGCTAGTTCCAACATGGTTACATGGGTAATGGCTTTTTTTTTATGTTAGCACAGACCTCTAAGAAATCCCATGCCTTACTCTTTTTTCTTTGGTAAAGATGCTTACTCTTGATATTTTCAAGATATTACTTTCCTCAAAATAGACTAGCTAGAAAGTTCATGCATGCATCACTATATCCTCATTAATTAGGTTCTTCATCCTGTTTAGACTTCAAAGACAGTTTCGTTAATGATTAGCTAATTAGCATAAAATTGAAACCTGAATTCTATATACTCAATTGCCTATCCTACTTAATAACTTAATATTGCACTTATTATTGGTAAATTCTCCTACTGCAGGATTTGCAAAGGATTTTTTATGAGAATGGTGGGATTCAAGAGAAAGAACCATTTTTTTTGTCAAACCTTTATGACAAGGAGGTAATGTTTCCATGTATTCCACATTAGTAGTCAATGGTTTGATGATTGTAGAATGTTCCATCAGTACCTTCTAGAATATCTAGAGGTTACTTGGCATCTTCTCATTTAACTCTCACAATTTTCATTTAGGCTGTGTTTGATTTGATAGAAAATAAGAGGAACAGAAAGTTGAGGGAAGCCTCTCTATATCCATCTACCTAACTAAACATAGCCTTGAGCAAATTTGCTTTCATGAATATACTCACTCGACTGTAACATTTGAAATGTCTTATTTTTCACATCTTGTCAATCTGTCTATCAGATAACCAGAACCAACTATTATTTCATGCTCAGTTTTCTGATTCCCAAGTGGATATGCCACAAAATATGATTGGTTCTGACATTAGAAGCATTAGTAGTTAGAAATTCAGATATATGAAAAGATGCTCTATAATCTTTGCCCTGATATTTGGGAGGTTGATCAAGTGGAACACCCCATGTAAGAATATAGTGCATCACTCTACATCTTTGAACACTCGTTGGGATTGAAGACTTGTCTTAATCTGAGTGTTCTTGGTAAGGTAATGGTTAATGAATAAAGACAAAGTAGAAGCTTATAAAATAAGCCTCACATCTTCTTTTTTGATTAATATACAGCTCGAATCTAGCTATTCTGTTGATGGCCGGAACGCATCAGCAACTGCTCTTTTAGGTCTGGCAACGTAGAGAGGAAAAGAAAGGTTGTCAGGACTGACATGGAAAAATGAAGAGAAAACACCATCTTATGCTTCTGAAGTTCAAAGTTTAGGTGCTCTAACGGATAATGAGATTTCTGTTGTATTATAATTTTTTCAGTTTTAATTTTTTGATCCTTTCTAAACATGCTAAAGGGATGTTAATGTAAACACTATTGTACAGTACCGGGTTAAAATTTTGAGTGGATGAGAAGAGGCTGCACTTCTTTTTTTAATTTTCTCAACCATGTAAATTTGAATAAAATTTACCGGGTTAGAAATTATGTTCCATTAGTATCAATAAAATTATATAAGCGCTTAGTACTATTTGTTTCATTGATTGCTTATGAGGAACCTTACAAATTGCAGTTCTCTAATTTCCCCTTTTTTTTTACACCTAAAAGGCAAAAATTCATTGAAAATTGCATGGATTACAGACGGACAACCATCAGCAAGACCAATCAAAGAAAAAACAGAATATTAGATGTGAATATGCAACTAGAGACAAACAAAACTGCTGATCAAAAGCATAAGTAAAACCGATAGCCTCTAATAGTTCGAAGATCATTGGTGATTGGTCCAGTTTAAGTTATTTCCGCTGTATTAGTATGTTAACGACAATTGATGCATTAATATGAGCCTTCAGTTTTCAAATCCAAAAACGAACAAACTGTTCTTATGCTTTGTGGTCTGTAGCAAGCCTCCCCATCATACACTCATTGAAAAATTGGATTAAAATGAGCACGTTTGAAGTTTTATGATCCTAAGTACCAAAAAAAAAAAGAAAAAGAAAAAGTTTGATGCTCCTCAACATGATTACATGCGTTTTTATTGAAAGCTTTTCCAGGGTCCATGGTAGTGGGTTGGACCAAAAAGTCCATCTCATTAACACTTACTGTACATCTGCAGCCCACCATCTAGCTTGTGTTTGGTGCCATTGCTGTTTTTACATGAAACTTCTGGGTTGATCAATATCAATTGGCATACAATTATTATTTGAGGCTATTTATGGTTGAAGCAGGCATACATTAAAAATACATGTGTGAGAGACTGTTTCTAGAAACATCAAATTGGTGTTTATTGCTCCAAGGAGGTGAATTCTAATTATTCTAACTGAATTAACTCTCACAATACATATCTTTCACCGAGCTGTATTGAATATTGATCAGCCCAAAACATTTTAGGTAAAACAGCAATAGTATCAAACACAACCTTAGGGCAGAAGCTTGGGCTACTTGGGAAGCCCATAATTTGTCCTTGAATTTCAAAAATTTTCCTCTCATAATTGAGGGTGATTCCAAGATAGTGATATCTTGTCTTAACAAATCAAGTCCGTGCTCATGAAACCTGAGGAGCATCATTCAAGACTGTTGAGAGTTTAAGGAGAGGTGCAGGAAGGGAATCATTTACAAGCATGTTTTTCGCGAAGCAAATCAACCAAGCCCAGTTGCCGAGTGATAGCTGTGTTTTCTTGGCTTTTTGCATTTATTTGTTGTAGTGATATGTGTGGACGTGATAAGCCCCCCCNCCGTGTACCACCTTACAAAAAAGCACAATAATGTAAATTTGAAATAGGGTGCCCAACGGTCCAGTTACCGGCCCAATATAACAACTCGAGTAGGTGGACTGATTATCATCTATGAAACCCACGAATAAAGCTTTGGCGCCAGTGTAGCAAGGAATTGTTGATTGCGTTTAAGCTTTGACAATAAACTTCAATATGACCTGTCCAGTATATAATTCAACGTGTTTCAGTTGAATTGAGTGCTCGAATCCAAACTAAGGTTATTTTCAAAAGTGAATAGAGAAGTCGATTTTTATCCCAGGTTTTTGCTAAAGAACTTGTTCCAAAAAACTTCTCCAACCTAACCGTTACCTTATCCAACCAAGTTTGTCATTTTCTTTATATTACCATAGATTAAAATAAAAAGAAAAAGAAATTTGCACAATTTTGGTTTCTTTTATTACAAGAAAAAATAAGAGAAAAAGAAGATAAAGGGATCAAGCGATAACGATGATGACGATGATGATGATTACAGTAGGAGATGGTGGTTGTCTGGTTTGGTTTTTACCTGATCGACAACTGTTACGCACAAGAAAGTGGGAGAGAAGCGAGTTGCTTGTGGCATTAGTTAGCTTCACCGTTACCCCACCCGTTTCTGCTTATATCTTATACAAGCTGGATTCTAGTTGGCGCTACGGGACTCTTTACTTCGCCATTGCGAGGAAAACAACAACAACGTGATATAAAGTCAGATGTATGAGGTCGAATCAAGCCTGTTGCCTAAAGCAAATGAAGTTAAAAAGAGCTTCAAATAGTTGTTACACGTAATGTTGTGTTTGGAATTGATTTAAAGCGTTATCGGTGTAAAAGTATATTAATGACATTTTACACTGAACAGTGAAGAAGTGATCGTTTCACTTTTGAAAAGCATGAAGTAATCGGTGTAAAGTTTTATATAGATGTAGAATTTATATCGATAATCGATGTAAAATTTTACGCTTGATAAAGTTTTATATTGATTCAGGACGTAAAACTCGGCTCTATCCAAACACACGTAAAACTGAAACCGGAGCAGAGTTTTACGTCAATCATGATTATATACTCGAACCGATGTAAACTTTTACATTGTTCTTGATTTACACTGATTCCAAACGCAACCGAAAAGATTAGGGTGTCAGATGAGATTTTTGAATAGATTTTCATTCTAACATGCTCTTTCACCCAAAAGTTTATTAGGGTTGAAGCGTGTGGATAACCACAGGCCCACCCACCCATATCTTGAGATAGAAATTTATGATACATAGACCACTTGATCAAATAGACTATGATAATATCACAGATAACTATTTAACTTAAAAAGCTTAAGTTGTTAGGTGAGATTCTAAATATATAGGTTTTTATTTTCTAACATGCTCTTTCACGTGAAAGCAATATTAGGTTTGAAGCATGTGAATAATGGCATATCCACCCATATCTTGCACTTAAATTTATGAAACATAAAGACCACTTCATCAAATAGACTCTGATAACATCTCAGGTGAAGTTCCTGAATAGTTTTTTTTTTCTCTTAACATATTCTTTCACGTAAAAGCATACTAGGTTTGAAGCATGTGAACAATTACAGACCCACCCATATCTCCAGCTAAAATTTATGAAACACAAAACCAGTTGGTCAAAGAGACTAATACCATCCCAAATAACAATTCAACCTAAAAGTTTAAGCTTTCTTGGATATGAGTTTACTCTCTAAGAAGTCAAAAACTTGTGTGGAGGAAAAGACAGAAAATGAAAATGAGATTAAAATTAGATACGTCTCCTTACGTTTAATTCAATTCTGTACGAATATTGATAAGTGAATGACTGGTAATGTAATCTGGTTGGTATAGTAATGGCTGGTCGTAGTGGGTTGGCCGCTCAACTGGGAGGGAGAAGGAAAGAACCATGAGGGTTGGGTTTGGGTACTTCGTCGTCTGCTACTGTTTTCTCTTCCTGCCGTATTTTATGGGAGAGCTTTCTTGAATTAATTTGTCCATTCTGAGAGTTTTCTTGAATAAATAGAAGGAGCTTGACCAGACGCAAAATAATAGTGGCCCTAAGTTGATTGACCTGTTTGTATCTGAAGCAAGGAAGGATGTTTGCAGTACTGCACTATACGTGTACGATAGAAATATAGATAATAGACGGTATGAATTATTTGATGAATGTGATTATAAATTGATTGATTGATTAATTGATTATAAACTGAGATAGTTACGTGAAAGTAGAAGTAAGAAGCAAGCAAACAGCGACCATTCTAATTGTCAATGTCGTAGGCAGACACCAAAGCTATCCCCATCCGTGATCCGTCTACAATTGCTAGTCGCCATCCTAGTATTTCAGCATATGTTTATAAAAAACCTTCAGATTTTGCATCATCACCTCTGTACAGATAAATCTCATTTTCAGCCCTTTTGTTTTTTTGTTAAAATGTTTCGCTTCGCATGGTCAAGATTTCAATCACTTCTTCTTTCTCTGGATGCTTCCATGCAATAAACTAATAATTGTTTTGTGCGTGTGGATGTCATGGGAAATGCAATTATTCCACTGTGGACTTGACTACGGTTGAAAGAAATAAGAAATGTATCACTTTTAATTAACACTTCAATTAATTAAGGTGGTGTTCGGATAAAAATTTTTCAAGTATTTTCATGCTTTGGATGGCAAAAAGAAAAATTGTTTTGGTGTTTGGTAACATGTGCTTTGTAAATCAAGAAATAATATTGAAAGTAAAAACACTTCTGGTCATTTTTGCTTTACAGCAAAATTCAGAAAACACAAACATGAACCTCTTCCCATTATCATTTTTCATATCATATGTAATAAAGGAATCTGCAGCAACCATATGTTTATTTATGCTTTTACTTTCAAAAGCTTATTTTGAAAGTAGTATTTACCAAACTCCAAAAATACCCAGTAAAAGTAAAACATCTCTAAAAGACACAAAAGCTAAGCTAAAGCTTATCTAAATGCAACCTAAATTCATTAATTTTGTTAATTATATTATGTGTTTTTTCTTTTTCTTTTCTTTTTTTTTAATGGGCCACATAGTAAAGGTAACCCTCCCAAAAACCTCCCAACCTGGGTGAAAGCAGAACTCGATCCCATGTCTTTGTTAGGACCAGCTAGAGGAGGCTAACTGTCACCTTCTCTACTTTATTAGTTTTCAGTTTTCACCTTAAAAAGAGTATTACCATGATTTTATTGCCATGGTTGCTACTTTCTAAAATAACATATTTACAAGGGAAAGGATTGTTGGCGAGGATTTTCACTCAATTTTCATCCATCCAACTTATGAACTTCATTTACCCTCTCTTTGTGAAAACATTAAGGCTGTGTTTGGTTTTTGGAAAAAGAAAATAAGACAGAGAGAGAGAGAGAGAGAGAGCGAGGAAAAGTTCTTAAGCCTTTTACCATGACAGAAAAGAATGGTGGAATTAAAAGGAACTCCCTTTTGCAAATTGTAGTGTGGTGTAAAATCCTTTTTGATTTCATTTTCTTTACGTGACACTTCTGGTATTTCCCCTATCAGGGGAAAGAAGAGGTAGTATTTGTAAAACAAATCAATAAAGAATCATCGACATCATAGCAGCCTCTGGTGCTTCCACCTTTACAATTCCCCCCATCATAACAATTCTCAGGATCACAGAGCAACTTCAACCCAAATTGACGACAGCAAATGTACCCAGTAATAATAACCGTGCAGGGAGCAAGAACAAAACCAGAAAATGCATGTGCTGCGATGCAACAAGCCTACTAAATCGCTTCAATGAGTCTCTACCTGTACGCAAGACACCAGAGAAGCTAACCTGCTGCTGACCCATGTTGTTGGATACCACATCCCTGCTGACAACTGTATCAGCATGGACACCATGTGGGGCCACGAGAGGCCACCACATTCGGTGGCGGCGACGCTCCCTCTTAGCCTTCCTTATGCGTTTGTGCTCCTGACGGAGCACACCCCGCACAGACCTCAAGTAGGAGTTCATGTCATGGTCTCTGTAAACGGTGCCATCAGAGCCATAAGCAGATCGGTCACTAAGTATCTCAAGTGGGTGAGGTGAATTGAAGAAGACTCTCTGTGCAGCTCGGAGTTGCTTCTCTGCGTCAAGAGAACCCGACCCAGGACACTTGAGAAGATACAGACCACTGCCGGAAGGGAGTAGCTGATGGTGTGGGGATAAATTCTCATCTGGCTGTAAGATCAGAAGCTCCCCCATTGGAGCATACAGCAATTTCTGTCCCAAACAAGAGACAAGGCAAATATATTAGAGATTGCACATACTCCAACCAGAATGAATTGAATAGAGGATAATAATAGGAGGCTCACTTGGGCCAAGATTTCATTCAATTCATTCAACTAGGTAATCGTATCAGATTCATCAAGTTATGCTTAGAGGCAATTTGATAAAGACTGAAGTTGCTGAACTGATTGACTTGTTGCTTTGTTTTTTAGCGGATAGAATAATTACATAACAAAGTATTCAAGTTTATGGTAATCACCCCAACTTCAGTTTCAGCCATTAAGGAGCTCAGAACCTCCTAATTAATAACTTAATAAAAAACAAAGCAATTCGCTGTTCACTTCAGCCACTTCAACTGTTATCAAATGGCTCCTGAGTCATTTGACTGGCACTAGGTAGTTTATCTAGAACCTGGCCACAAATGTATGAAAGTTCAGTGGAGCTCTTATTTCTCAACCATGGCAATCATCAGTGCTTCAGGGACCATCACACAGTATGTTAAGTGGACTTAACATTTGCTTTTCCATACTCTTCAAACAGTTCAAATTCAGATTTAGAGTTATTGGGGAAAGATTATACCTGGTTGTTGAGGCATGGATGATTACGGAAGTTAGCATTAACAGCTTTGAGAAGCTCTGCCACATGATCAGGGTAACTGCAAGAGAAGGCTCGGGGTACAATGTCGCGATGCATTGTGATTGCTTTAACATGACTTTGTGGCAAACCCAATTTGTGTAGCAATTGATCCCCTCCACACATGATATATGGGGAACCAAATGTTACCACAGGAAGTAAAGAAGATGGTGGCACTTCTTTCCGTATCAGCAACATGAGATTTACAAGCAGGGACAGGCTTCCACCAAGGGAGTGCCCAGTGAAACGGAGTTTTGCAGAGTCACCACGAGACTTCAGGTGTGCACGGACTTCAGGCAACATCTGTTCATAGATTCCTTTTGCAGCTTCATAGATACCTCTATGTACAAGCACATCTAATCCCTGGGCCATTAAGGAAGTAAAAAAGCATTTCTTTATATGACTAAACGTTGCATCAAAAGATTATTTCAAATGCTATATCAATCTCTATGCCAGTAAACAACACAATAAACTACCAAAGTCAATTGGATGGATCAGTACCTTAACGCTAGGAAATAAAATAAGTTGAACTAGTGTATATTCAAATTTTTACCTCGAATTGAACGGGCTCAAAGAGTAAATTTGCTTGCCAAGAAGCCAAGGACTCAGAACCCTGCACATTAAGATGATCAAGCCCTTGTTACAAATTACAAAATACAATTTAATACATCAAAAATCTCAGATACAGGGGTAAAATCTTGAAGAGAGACTTATACCACTTAATAAATGCTATAATCACCTGTGAAATACAATTAGTCTAATTGGAGAAATCATAGCCTAAAGACTTGATACAATCATCATTGCCCTCTGGCCACTGATGGCTTTCTGATTCCAATGGTCATTCATACGGGGAGTACTGCATGAAATGATTGAAGTTATATATGAAAAATGCTGTTCGGGCACCTGTGGCCTGTCAAAGAGGTGCCCAAACACTTGTCTAGAATGATCAAACATGGAATTCTGAATGCTTAATATCATATATACTGTTTATCAAAGAAAATATTTTGCATCCACCAGTTGGTTGGTCAGGACCATAGGACAAACACTTTCTAGTTTCATCCCTTAAATGCTTAATGTCTACTTTTGAGTGAGTCAGAGTGAATTGAGGGTTCATTCCATGTGAGATTCTAAAGGGAATTAAATATAGGGGTTCTGTATCCTGAGTTAGCCAATAAACAGTCTTCAACTTTCTTGGCATAATTAGCTTAGAGGATGGGATTGATGGTGGGTAATCTAAAATTTAGTAAAAGTCATCTACCTGAATGACAAAGAATCTTGTGCCACTCTGATCATTATCGCATATGAACCACTCACAAGGTGATGAATGTGCTGAGTTCAGGTCCTTCACAACAGCTTGTTTCATTTCCTCCTTTGCTGCAACAACTGCTGTCACAGAGTTGGTAGTTGCCACAAGCGAAGCCACTTCTGAGCTCATTATGTTAACATTATCACCAGTTTCCTTATGCCCATCCAATGAATCCTCCCCAGTGTCAGCCTTTGAAGATTTGAAAGGAATAATGCTCCTTGTTTGAGAATGCAAGTAGGAAGCGGCAGAGGCAGCAATCTGGTATGCAGCAGAAGCACTTATTTGGCGTCGATCCTTCCTCTCCTCCTCACCTTCTTTTGCTTCCTCTGGCTTCTTTTCTGTTTCTTTAACTTCTGATAAGTTCTGCTCCTTTGCACTGTTGGTTGTCTGTTCCTTCTTCTTTATCGAAGAAGTAACAAAACGCAGTCCATGATATTTCAGGAGATTTCCTGGCTGAGAAAATAGAACGAAAATGTCAAAACAAAAACAAAACCTACATCCACCATCAAATTCTCCAACGGTAAGGTTGAAAGCTAGCAAATGGATAAATTGGCTTTGGGAAAAAAAGAAGACACATAAGACCTCCTTGAATAAAAACTTCTTATGCAAATGAAAATTTGTACATGAATGCTGCAATTAAGAACAATACTCTCCCAATTAGGCCAAAACATTCCAAGATGGAATTTTCTTAGAGATGGAATCTAATCAACCAGAGACTGCGACGATTCCCTTTTTATTTCCCTTCAACCCACTATACAGACAACTTTCTTTTTTTCATTTTTTTGGCAACAAAGACCATAGTATACAGACATTAAAAAATTCCTCCCATCTTAAAAATGTTCTTGTTTAATTTACTATCAAAACAAAAATAGAATAAACTAAATGGGCGCCATGATTAGTTCAACGAATAGAAGTATCTTCGTTAACCTTGCCAAGTGACATTTTCTCATACAGATAAATACAAGTACGCAAGTTTCCGCGCATTAAGCCAAATTTGCAGGTTGTAACGCACTCCATAAATCAATAGACTAGCAAATACACATTCATAAGTAAAGATGAGGGGGATGAAGTGTGCCCCTGCAAGAAAATTTTCTTGCAGAGAAACCGCAAGTTCGAAAACGGGCACGTCAAGTATCAATATGACGAGAGATCTCTCTCTCTGAAAAACGGAAGTTTTCAAATAGTTTCATTGATTAGCTCTAATTAACACAATAAGCATCAAAAGGGGTACCTTAATTTTGGGTATCGAGTAGGCCAAGTTCCCCAAATACGACATTTGAGCATACAGCTTTGCTTCTGCCAACGACACTCGCCGGAGTAACCTTGAGAATGAATCCCTATCGAATTGGGCATCCTCTTCACGAGATCCAGATTCCTCGTCATCACAGGCTCGACAGCAAGAACATTCTCTGCCCGAACAGTTTACCAGATCGTTCTCTTTCTGCTCCTCTGGCTCCATTTCACCGACAACCCTTTTCCCCTGTTCAGACCAAAGAGACCTTACATGAAGAATTTTCAAAACCCAGTTCCCCCGCCTCTCCCTAGACCGAACCGGCTCAATTTCTGGCACTTCGACGGGGATTGAGTCTCCTTGTCCGCCGCCTTCCGTTCCGTCCCCAAGGACAACAATGTCGTCGTAGAGGGAAATCGATTGATTTGCCTTCCCTCCACCAGGCCACATAAATCTGAGGGGGTACGTGAAGGAGAATCTGGACGAAGACGTCTTCTGAGGCGCAGAGGTGGTGGCGGGGGAGTTGTCCACAGAAATGGCATTGGTGTTGGTGGACGAACCGCCCCCAGAACGTCCAAGGGCACTCACATGGCCTAGGTGCGCACGGCCGTCGATACCTCCACCGGCGGAAATCGGAGTCGAGAAGACATGAATCCCTGCCTTAAAACCTAGACCATCCATGCCCGTCCCTCACTCTATTGATCCCCGTATTTCTTTGTTGTACCAGTACGTGTATAACAGAAAAAAGAAACGAGATCCTGAGAAAATTATAAGAAGAATCAAGAACAAACAGTGCTCTCCGGAGTGCACGCGCCACAATCTCAGTGGGAGAGACACCAGCATTAAACAGCAGGGGGAAAAAACACAGAAAGTTCAGTCTGCGTTTGCAACCAAACTGTTAACCAACCTTCACCCCGTGAATCTGCAACAGCTATAAATAAATCCAGATCGGCCACCCAAAACCCAGAATTAACATCACTCCCGGCCAATAAAAAAATAGAAATCAATTGAAAGAAAATTCAAATTCGTAATTTTTTATGGAGAAGTAACTAAGATCTTCCCCTGAAATTTTCTTCTAAAAAGTAAAGTTAGAAAAAGATCTCTCTCACACACACACGCAGAGAGTCTTTCCTTTTGCTCAGACATGAAATTATGAAAATGTCAATGAGAATGCTGTGCAGCTATTTTCCGTGTCAAAGCGGTGTAAGTGTGGGACCCAAAACACTTAAAAGTTTGTGCAGATATGGAGGTAGTGCCACGTTAGATGATTGTCGATCAACTAAAAACCGAAGGGTGACGTGTCGGTAAAGCTTCCCGTGTTCAGGCTCCATGTTCCCTTCTTTCGGTAGATATGTCTGCCAAGTCACCACCATTGTCGTCTCTCTCACATGACACGTTTTCGCTGGATGCTTCTTCCCTTCCCTTCCCTTCAACCTATAATTTTCTTTACTTGAAAAAAAAAAAAAAAGATCCGTTGCCCTTTTATGCTGGAAAGACTATGATCGTGATGGATTACGTAGACTTTTTGATGAGATATTAATCACCCCAGAAAAACCGTTAGATTGGAATATTCGTCTTGGTGGAGCCCATACCAAGAGTCTGGGTAAAAGATTCCGCTTCAAATGATTTGGGAGTGGATTCCATTCAGGTCCCAATCGAGTAGAATTATATTGGGTCCCTGCTTTAGATCATGAGCTTCTGTCTATTAGCTATTCTTTTATGTTTTCCTTGTTTAGTTGTAGTTTCTATTTGTTGTTTTTCCATTTATATTTGATGAATTCTCCTTTCTAACCAGAAAAAAAAAAAAAATGGTCCCTACACTTAGCTTGAGTAAAATTGAGCCCTAACCTATGGTTAGATATTTTTGATAAATTATGTTTTTTTATTCATGTAAATCATGAAATCTATATTTTATAAAAGATATTTATCGTTTGTTTTGATACATGACATAAAATATAAATTTGAATACTATGTATCATATATCATTAATATATACTCTTACACTAATTTCATTAAATCAAATACAATATAAAGATGAAAAAAGGGGGCCATGGACTATATAGAGTTAGTTAGAAAACTATGGTTAAAGAATAAGGTTTAAATTATGACAACGTGTGAGTTATTAATCCACCCAAATGTTAGGATTTAGATCGAAAGGCCATGTTCAATCCTTGATGCCCCCTTCAAAAATCCATACAACAATCCATATAAAATTAATACTGATCGTAACCTAATGGTAAAACAAGATTCATGTCGACTTTATATAGTTTTTTTCTTTTATTGTTGCTGAGAGATTTGATATTGGCACAAGGCTTAGATGATTAGTAATATTGAGGGGGCATTTTGTAATGTGGATGAGAAATTGGTTATTGAATTCAATCGTTGCAATGCCTGTGTGTTCAAACAGCCTTTATAGCCTTACATTGGAAACATCCTCTGTATTTATATGCTTTATTTCATGGGGAGATATTCCCAATGCAAGGCTATAAAGGATGTTCAAACGGGCCTTGCACTAACTGAATCCGGTTTCGAGAAATTGATGGATGTGGATTAGTCTATACCACACCATTATGACAAGGATCAATCCACATCACAGTCATTGACTTAAATTGTTCACACCTAAAGGGGTGTTCTACAAAATTAGATCGAATTCAATCCTCATAAGATGTATTTACACCATACTCATAGCCACTTGCAACCATGTATTGGGAATATCTCTGCACTTGTATTTTTTATTCATGGAAAGATATTCCCAATGCACAACTGCAAGTGGGTGTGAGTATGGTCTTGTGAGGGTTGAATCCGAGTTCATGCATGACCATTCCACACCACACCTGTTGATTTACAACTTGTGAGAAAATCTATATAATTGATTATGAATAATTTTTTTTTATATTTTAAGTTCAAAATAAATTGAAAAAATAATACAAATAATAATGAATAAAATAAAACACCAATATGTAATTATTGAATATGTCAAATATTAGAGGATAAAATGTATAGATTATGAATTTATCTAATAGTAGAAAATCATTTTTATTAACAAAAAGGTAATAAAATTAATTTAAAAGCAATTACTTTTTATCTTCAAATACCTTTTATTAAGAAAAATAATGAAAATGGTTCAATGTTAAAAAAAATTATCATAATATTACCTTCAAGTATTAAAAATATTTTTAAAATAAAATAAAAAATAAAAATAAACTAAAAAATAACTATGATGAATTAGACAATAGTCCCATCATGGGGTGGGGTGAGTGGTCCCCATCTATGAGTTTTACCTATAGACAATATATTGGGGAATCGATAGTCCCTATTCATGATAAATTTTTTACGGGAATCGTCCATAGTGAACTGAACAATCACATGCCTCATACATGGGACAAATATTCATGCAACCAAATGCAATCTAAATAGCTAAAAAAGAGTGATGGGAACAAGTTGAATTGAAAATAAAGTTCATCCACCAACTACAAAGTATGTGATTGATAATTCAATGAAGGTGGGCTTTGTTGTGGGATGGAATCCATGCAAAGAGAAGATTAAATGAATGCAAAGGACGCCCATGATGAATCTAAACCGTTTTGAATGAATGCAAGTAATTGCTATCCAATCCTTCGGCCACCAACTATAGTAATGGCCCTAATAATCAAAGATTAAAATATCGATACATTTAATATCCTCAAGTGGGTATTGGTCCATATTGACTGATTTGATATTGTTGATATACTATATTTTTTTGTTTTTCCACTTTTTTATTTTATAGGTATAAGAGGGGCCATTCATCATTTTAAAGTATTAGTTTTAGTTTTTTTTTTCTTTGTACCAGTGTATGCAAGCATACTTGGGTACCTAATACGGATACGATAAATTTGATATAAGGTGTATTGTATATATATTTTAATCCTTGTTTATAACATCTCCCCTCCCCATTAAATCCCTATTTTACTTTTAAATATCTTTTAATTCGTTGGTTTTCTCTAATAAAATAAGGGTGTAAATTAGATAGATTTAGTTAGGTTAAGGGCCAATCTAAATATGAACCCTAGTGTAGACCCAAATTATTGTCAAAAAAAACCCAAATTTGCCCACTATTGCATGGGGTGAATCAATCTTATTCTTATTCAAAAGTCTAAAGAAATCATTTCTCCTTCTCATAGGTTATCAGGTTTTTCTCTTTGTTTTTATTAATTTAATTTAGTGCAGGTTTGTTTCAAGGATTGTTTTAGTTCAACTAGTGTTTTCAAAACCGGACCGGATGGAATAGTTGGACCAGAAAAAACTAAGAAGCAGTTACCTAACCAATTCCGTTTCACCCCAAAACCACATTTTGGTTAAAAACCGTTGATTTGGTCAGCAAACCTCTGACCCGGGCAGTCGAATCGTCGAACCAGACATTGGGTTTTGATCATTTTTTGTTTTTTAATTTTTTGTTAAAGCGGGCCGTCCATTTGGTCCGAACGATTAGACCATTCGACCCGGGAACCGAACCCCAGAATGGTTCCTTGTCCGATTCAATTTTAAAAACCTTGAGTTCAATAATAAAATATAGTAAGAAAGCACTTAACATGAGCCTTTGGTTATCTTCATCAGTTCAATTTTGAAATTGTTTTTTAAAGTGGTTATTGATCTCATATTAAGCACAACTTTTGGTTTTATAGGGCTACGAAATGGGAGATAGCCCATCCCCCAAACCCTTAACCCCAACCCAGGTCTCCACTACAACTAGCTAAATAACCTATCAACTGAGCCACCTTCAATTGGTTCTCATGCTAAGTAGTTTGTTTATGTACATGTACTTCTCATAATAAATAAGTCATATCAAAAGGATTAAGTTTCAAGCTCAAAATTATTTTTGTCTACTATTTTATATATAAAAATTCTATAAATATATAACAACTTCAATGAATCATTGTTACTTCATTTTTCACCTTAAAATTATATTTTTAAATAGCATCCCATGCACCGCACGTATCACCACTAGTTCTAATGTTAAGTTGGGATAGGATCGGGCTCATCAAATTAAGGCTCATATTGGTTGGGTTAGGGGTTGAGGTCAAGGTTCAAAGTATCGATACGATACGAGTTTTGGTCGTATTGTATTGGCACTTAGAAACAGTCGAAACTTTATTTTTTTTAGTTTTTTTTTCAAATTTTGTTTTTTTTTTGAAAAGCTTTTAACATGCTTTTTATTATTAAAAAAATTGGGGGTCTGAAACACCTGGAAACAGGCGTTTCAGACCATATCGTTTTCAAAAGATACGATACGATACACCCGATACGGGGCGTATCGTATCAATACTTTGAACCACGGTTGAGGTACGCCCTTTCCTCAAGTTGGTTTGACGACAAACCAACCCGGTGTGGTCCAAGTTAAACTGCTATCAACGTTGTTAGACATGAACCAGATATAAAACCATTTTGGTCATTGTTTGACCATTCAGCTTGCTCACATAAAAATGCAAAAAAAAAGAAAAAGAAAAAAAATCTAAATTATAACATATGTTTCCAAATTTTTAAAATAATTTTATTAAAAATAAGCTTAAAAGAATAAAAATCATATGTTATAAAAGATGTTAACAAATGTATGGGAGATATGTTTGACCGAAGTCAACATTTTCAAGAAAATCAGACATCTTATAAATTGTTTTTGTATGTTGATTCCAGATCTGAAGAATTATTGACAATTCCGAGTCGGGTCCAGTTCAAATCCAACAATGCTTTGGAGGAGTACATGACAACCAGATCTGTGGTTACATGCAATAAATTAACCACCTAAAGATCTGTTTGGTGTACAATCCGGATCAAAATTGAAATCCCTTAAATCCAAGGTTTTTAAAATTGATCCAGACAATAAACTGGCCAGGGGTTTGGTTTCTGTATCGAGTGGTTCGATCGTTCAAATCGAACGATCGGCTCATTTTAACAAAAAAATAAAAAAATAAAAAAATGGTCAAAACCATTGAACAGTTCGAACGATTCAACTACCCGAGTTAGGGGTTTATTGACCAAATCAATGTTCTTTGGCCAAAATCCAGTTTTAAGAAAAAACAGAACCGATCGCTTGACCAGTTCCCAGTTTTCCCTATCCGACCATCCGATCCAGCCCGCTTTTGAAAACCATACTTAAATCAAATTTAGAATTAT